AAAGCTTTGTTTCTTTGGAATGTATCTTCTTGTGGAAGATATATTACTCAAATATAGATGCACCCTACATTAAACGCTATGTGTCTTTCTGCATATGACTCTTTGGTGGGTTTTGTTTTGTTTTTGTTTTTTTTTTTTTTCCCTTTAAGGTGAAGAAGTGCATCTTATTTCTTGCTTTAACTTTAAAATATTCATAGTTGAGTTGGAAAGATTTAATTTGGAAATTAAAAAAAATTAATCAATGGGAAAACATTCAGTAGTACAGTTTAAATATGCAAACTGATCCAAATTCAAGTGGCTGTGATTTGATTCAAATTAAGCTACGTAATGTGAAGTAGCAGCTGTGTGTCTGTTCATATTAGGAACTGATCTATTGTCTGTTGGTTTACAAAGTACTTGAAGATTTACCTTTTTTTTTTTTTTGTAAAAAACCCCATTTCCCTATACATGGCTGAAAATTGTGACATCACAGCCTTCAAATGCTTCTGTGACTTCCACAGTTTTTAATGAAATCATTTAGTCATTACACCTTTTTTCTTCCTCCTCCCCCAGGATGTGAATTCTCTGTAATTCCGCTGTATATACATATCCACATCCACCATCTTCTCTTATTCTGGTCTGGCTCTCTGTAGTACCTGATCAATATAATGCAATGTACCTTCTGACAGAAAACATTCTTATTTACCTGCTTTTAGGTGAACGCAAAGATTAAACTTAAGGCATAATAACTTACCATTTATGTGGTCTGTAACAGTAAATTAGTTTTCAAAGTGACTGAAAAAATACTTTAAATCTGCACCACAGCTTTTTGGTTGTTAATAATTTTAAGTCACAAGAGTATACTAATAGTTGAAATTCATTCTGAATGCTGCTGCGTCCATGGGCCTGATCTGAATTTTAAGAATAAACCAAATGCTTTTTATTTAAATCAAATAAGCCAAATCAGCAATGTTGTTATGCTTTTGCACATGTGTGTGTTGCTTTGAGTTAACACATTTCTGAGGGAGGAATTTGGCCTGCGGGATACGTAGCTGGCAGTGATGAATGAAGAAACCTTGAATGGGGTTCTGTGTGAGTTTGTGTATGAACTCAGGAGGCATTCTGTGGGAGTGGCAGGCAGCGATGCCGCACCAAAAAGTTCTTAACAGAAGAACAAACTTCACAACTGCTGGCTATGTTTTTCACAAAGAAAGCCCATTGTTGGTGTGCTTACCTTGCCTTTTTTTTTTTTCCCCCACTTGTTTAATATGGTGAAAGGCAGTACGCATCTGATGCAGTATTTTGCTGATTTGTCAGTTTGTACTTCAAGAAGAGTGTCTGTTAAGACTGTAAGAGCACTGTAACCCCGAAAGAGTCATAACTGGCACAGCCAGTGTGCTGGGAAGGCTGTCACCTGTCCATTGTGTGTTTTGTTTGTTTTTTTAATTAAGTTTTTTTCTGCCATGCCCCTTCATCTGGCTGTTCTGGATGGACAACTCATTGTCTTTAGTGTGTCATGTATGCTAGACATTGAACAAGGTGAGACATGAAAACATAAATGTGTGAAGATCTTTGAGATTAAGCTGAAGAAAACTGATATGTGCTTCAGTATTTCTGAACTCAAAATTCAGTCTCTTTAATCTAGATGTGTATGTTGAAAAAGTCACGGTATTTTGTCTGGAATTTTGTCTAGGAACTGTTGTATGCTGCTTGATTGAATATTTTGTACTGAGCCAAGTGAAATTCTTTGTTTGGTATGGTCTGAGCCCATAGTTTAACTTTTTTCATTGATGTTGATATAGTAGTGCTGGTGTTAGTACTGATTTTTTTTTTTGTTAATGTGTCAGTAAGATTTTCAATGTTTCAGGAGAAACTCATAAAGGTAAAAGCCTTTAGGAGTGAACAGTTTGTGCTAAATCAGTGAAAGAAATGGTTCATGCTACTTGATAATACGTTAAAATACACAACAGTAGGTGTGGGAAAGGACTATCATTAGTACATATGTGAACCTTGTTGACCTTTCAAAGGGGGTGCGATAGACCTACTTATTTTTATTGGGAGGGTTTTGGTGATTAAGTGGCAGATGAGGGCATTGTGTTTATAGGAGCAGTATTGTGCTGCTTGTATTGAAGGTCTCTGATTTCTTTGCACTGGAAACTTTTCCCTTGTGGGGAAGGGGGGGATGGTAGGACCAAGTAGTTGATTTGCTTTCTGATTAAACAATATACTGTATAACACTAAGTCAAATAGTGATTGAGTCATATCTGCACTGATAGAAATTCTTCAGCTCTATTCAAACACAAATTCTACTGCATTCAGATTTGGTTTTATAAGCTGTAGGTAATGTTCTGAATAACCTGCTTATATTTGAGACAGCCTTGCATTTTCCTGGCCCTCTGCAGTTACCGTATTAGGTAGTGTGTGGTTTTGACTGCTTTAAGAATGGAGTGTATACTGTCAGAGCAGTGGAGTTGTTTGATGCTTGTACAGTGCCAAGGAGTACTGAGGACCACAACTGGCATAGCTGTTATGCATAGAACAGAAACTTCTCAGACTTTAACCAAACCCAAAGATTTACAGGGGGAAGGTGGGATCACTGTGTTCTTTGATTTTGTTTTGTTCCTTTTTGTTTTGTTTGGGGTTTTTTTGTTTGTTTGTTTTGGGTTTTGTTTTTTTTTTTTTTTTTCAGGAATCTGTTTTTTTCAGATATGTGACTCTCATGGGTTAAGATAAAAAAACGCACATATATAATTAAAACATGTACTCTTTGCTTTTTTGCCACATAAGTGAAGAGTTTTACTTGAAAAGCAGAAGTTCCAGTCATGTGAGTGTTCGAGAACACATTGAAGAATTAGGGGAGCTTAGTAGAAGTGATCTCAAGGTCTATGGTTGTTAATATAAGCTGCATAATATGTGTTAAAATATATACTCTGAAGAAATGCTTTCAGTGATACAGATTTGGAAGTTCTTTTTAATCTATTCGCAATCTGTACAGTTAAACAGCTTTTTTATATAGAAAATGCCTACTAAAACAATTATTTCTTTTGCTGCTCCTAGCATACATGCAAATAAGTATCCAAAACATATTTTCCAAAATGTTCATTAAAGCACTGTCATTAAAATTTTAATCTAAATGTAGTTTGTCAGTTTTGTAGCATATCTGTGAGCAACAACAAAATGAGTTACCACTTAAGTGCAATCTTTATAAATGCAACAAGCTTTCTTTCATATTCTGGCATATGGATAGGTGGCATAGCCAGTAGAAAAATGAGAACTAAAAGCAGTTCTGGGAAAGAAAGGTCAAAGAACATGCTCCCTTCCCTTAATATATTGTTCCATCTCTTCTGTATTTTTTTTTCCTTGAATAAATGAATAGGCGAATAATCTTACTGAGATCCCGTTTCAGATCTCCGAATGCTAGGAAGACCAATTAACTGTTACTATACAATGTTAAATGCTTGATATATTCTTACATGTGTGCATGTATGATATCTGTAGCTGTATACAAGTAAAATGTTTTTAGTGAGTTCATCTCCACTGTGGGATCTTTGTAAAGCCATCCTGTGACTGCTGCATTTCTCCATCATGCCTTAAGTATAGTAAATGCAATTATGAGCCAAAATTTGTTTTGTGAGTGGTTAAAACATTTTAAAACAACCAGATTCCTGAAGGACCTCAGTGCAAAGTTTGGAGGCTACATTTCTTTGGAATCAAGCTAAAAAACCTCTGGGAAGATAAAATCCCTAAAAGTATATAAATGAAGTCAAATACTAAAACACACCTGTAAAAGAAAAAAACATTGTGTGTGCAGTCTACACATGTCAATAGGTAACAACCCGAACTAAAACAAATAAATAGGACAGGGAGAAAAAATAAAATTGAACTAGTGACAGATGAATTGTAGTTAACACTGTGAAGAGTTCAGGAAAATATTTTGCTTATTTTACATTCCTCACCACCACTGTGGTACTTCTGCAAAACAGTGAGGAAGATGAAATGTTGGCTAAAACTCCCCAGTAACAACAGTATTAGTGTTTGTATTTTATGTGTTTAATATCTCTTTATGTACATCTCTTCTATCTATGTATGAAAGAAATAGTATATTATACTTGTTATTATATCACATTATATTATAATAATAATCTTATGTAATTAAATGTTTCCTATGTGTGTATATACACAGAGTGCTTGCTTGTACATAAATACAAAGCATGCATTTTCAGTTCTACTTTTTTTATTTTTCTGAGGTAAGGTAAAAGCAGAGAAAGTTTGAAATCAGTAGTGAAAATGAGACAAAATCCTCAATTTGACAGGAGTGAAGACTGAGATGATGTTGAGGAATTACAAGAGAAAAAAGAGAGGGTGGAGGAAATTCTTTCATAGTATAAGAGCAAGAGGGCTTTAATTCTGAAAAACAGGAATTCTGAATTTGATACAAGGGAAATATATTTAACAGTACCCAAACATAACATCTAGAATTTGCTTCTTAGGAGATCCTGAAGTTTAAAAGCTTAGTGGGATTTAAAGTCTTAAGAATTCATATGAATGCGCTTCTTTCATAAACCAACTACTTACTTGAGAATAACAAATAGCCTCTGTAGTCTCTCTGAACTAGATTTAGTTGCACATTCTTTGAAGTAGTTTGTGCTATTCACTTTCAAATATCTGGACTAGTTGTCATTGAAGGGTCAGTTTCATTGCTCTGAAATCAATGTTGCTGGATTTTGACTTCGTGCAAAAATGTTTTTACACTCAGTATACTTAATTTTCTGCGAAATCATAGACATTTAATGTAGTATTTGCCCTAGATCATAGGTGGTTATGGGTTATGTGCTTTTGGCTAAAGGCAAAAGGAAATTGAAAATATTCAGCAAATTTCCACTTATACTGTTGGTTGTGCTTATTGAGCAGGTATTCTAATTATATGTCTGTATCATATTATGTGAAGAAATATATGTGTAGAAATAATCACTCTGGTGCTGGTTTAAGATGTTAATGTGTAAGATCTTGTGTTTATACAGAAAACTGTTTTGTACCAACCTCTGAGATCATTGCTGTAGAAGAAACTGAACCTAACAAGAAACACCATAATATTGGCAAATGGCAAAAAATGGCAAAGCCACATGCTTTCACAGGTAAGGCAAATACAGTCTCAGGGTGTTTGTGCTATTTACTTTGTTGAGGGTAATTTAGGTCAGACTCAAAAGGAATGTTCAGAATTTTTTTTAACAGAAATGATGCATTTAAAAAAAAAAAGAAAAAAACAAACAAACGAACAAAACAAAACAACAAAAAAAAACGACAAAGCACCACCCCCCAAAAAACAAAGAAAACCCTAACCAAAAACCCCACAACAACAAGGAAACAACCCCCCACACACCAAAAATCTGCCAATTTACACTGAAAGATCCTTATTTTGGAAAACAAACCCCTTCATTTAAGAACACAGGCTGTGTTTAGTTATTTAATGAAGTCCTAACCAATGTCTTACATTTCCGTTGCTGAATGACTTTGCAGCAGGACACTTGCTTTCTACTACTTGACTAGAAAATTAAGAGAAAGGCTGGAAAAATTAATGCTAAATGTTTGGGTTTTTTTAAATTATCCCTAACCATCAGAATGTGTTCATGTAAAGGTTCTTTGTATTATTGACTGCATTCTTAAAACAATGTGCCAGAAATAAATTTCTGTTTGTTTGGGGAAAGAGTGGTGACTTCTGTGCTGCAAAGCTGGGGCAAATGTGATTGCTCCCATGCCAGAATTTTATGTTGTACAGTACTTTCCTCATTTAGTCCTTTGGTAACAATGATTGGTGATACTGTAAATGGAAAGGTAAGGGTGCTTCTTGTCTTACCAGCTTGGTTCTTAATGCACAAGAAAACTCTAAGTCTTTTTTCTCGAAGTTTAGCTTTATGAAATTATGTTCATCCTGATGGTTACATGGGAGCTGATGTGAGGGTTTGGATTACCCTCTTAATCTTATGGAATTTTATATTATGTAGACACTGCAGACTTTAATACGGATAAAATAATGTATAAGCTCAGTGAACTTTTGTATGACTTTGTCTATAATCAGTTTATGGAAAATGGATCGTATTTGGTTTAAAAAGAAGTTTACGTTTGGGTACCTACTATAAGATAATGGCCTAGAGCAAGTGTTTATATTTTCATTTTGATTTTTTACAGAAATCCTGTTCACATTCTGAATGCTTGTGTCACTTTTGTGTCACTTGCAGAAATGTGTGGTGGGGGTTAACTGACCACTTTTTTCTAACAGTAAATATTTTGGAGACCTCTGAAATAGATTTGTCATTTCATAGAATTGTCTCATTGTGCCTTTTTTTTTTTTTTTTTTTTTTTTAATTTAAATAGTGTATTACGTGAAGAAAGCCCGAAATCACCGCTGGCGGTGCAGTGATGTGACGTTTTGGTGTGTTGATGAGCACTTGTGTAATCAGTGGATACAGGCACTGAAAGAATTACTTGAAATGCAGCGTAAGTTTGGCTACACTATTGACATTTGCAGCATCATTTTTCAGGCTTGTACATCAATTAATATTATTTTGATATATCTGCTTTTTTAAACTCTTAAGATCAGCGTATGCTCCAAAGTTAGGGGAGCTGAGAGTTGAAGTGCCTCGTTCTTATCACTACTTTTGTATCTTGCATATTTGCTAAGTTGTACTGAGTGTTTTACTCCAATCAGTCAGGGATATAGGTGTCTTACAGTTTTGCCCAGATGTAAATTGTTTTCACAAAACAGGGATACATTAGAAGCTTAGCAGAGGCTTTAGGTGACTATAGGTTTGGAGGAAGTAAAGGACAGCTGTAAGCTCAGAGATTTGAGGTACTCTAGAGAGTTGAGGACAAGGATTGTAGGAATTGTAAGATTTATGGGTGGCTTTTTTGTGTGTGTCTCATCTTTCCAGTCTCTCTCATCAGCAATGTGCTTTATGTAGTAAGAGTTTCCATTAATCATTTCTGGGACTCTTGGACATCTACTTCTTAAAAGGCTGAAAGTAGTTTTGCAGGAGTTATTCCTGAGGTGCCTTGATAGATGTCAGGAAGTGGCAGGAGCAGAGCAACTCCATGGCAGAAAGGGGGTCAAGGATGACCGTGGCACAGGCAGTGCCCTCACCAACCAGGGTGCAGTCCCACTGGATCTGGGCAGGGTGGGCAGAGCAGGGATGGGGGGATAGCAGCAGGTCCCATTTACAGCCCAGATGAGATAACGTAATCGGGTCCATCCAGGAAGGCCAGACAGGAGCAGCAGGAGGTAGAGCTGGAGGCAGGACTGGAGATAAGCTACTTGTAGTGTAGGCCTGAGGTCTGTCTGAGACACAGAGCCAGAGAAAGGGAAGGATGCAACACACCTATGATGTGACTCAAGCAGGTTCTTAATGCTTACAGAATAAAAATGGATATTTAACAAAAAATGTTCTTCTACAAAGGCATTGGAATCACACATCTTACTAATGTTTTTGTTTTGTGTATTTTACATGAGGTGTCTGGCTTCCAATAAAATATTAAAAAAATGGGGTTTGTACATGCACTGAGTACATCTGTGAGAGATGTGGCCTAGGCAGTCATCTGCGTTTGATTGCAGTGTTCATTGTATTGCAACAAACTATTTCAGAGAAGGTAACAGGTTCTCAGAGAGGGTGAATGGTGCTTTGGTTGTGTGGCAGCTTTAAAACATTCAGTCTAGCTTGTGTGGATTTATTACGCAAGTGTGCTAGTCTAATAACTGTTTATTCTTTCCTTTTAAAATAATAACTTAGAATTCAATCTGAGGAAGTACAGATGTTATAGCAGGTCTTTGTGTTCCATATAAAAAAGAAAGCTCTCTAGGTGCAGCAAGCATTACAGTTTTGTGTATCTGTTCATACAGAGGTGTAATAATTGTTTTAATTCCCATCACCAATGTAAATCCATAACTATTTAAACAAATTTGGGATAGTTATAACAAAGGTGTTTTCTGGGAGGAAGGGGTTACACTATAGGGCAAGTGCATGCTGTGCAGCTTGTAGTTTTGTAAGGTATTCTTACTGTGTCTTTATCACAGAAAGGAAATGCATTTTAACTATGTTACCAAAACGGGAAAGTTGCTTAAATAAATTAATGTAAAAGTATTTCTATATATGCTTCACTCACAAGTGCCTTTCCTATTGCTGCCCTTGGTTTATCTTTTGTACGCCTGTGATACTAATATGATTTAGTGGGAAGGTACTGCAAGAACAGTAAGAGTGTGAGACATGGAGTCAGATGAAATAATTCAGACTTTCACCTGCTGTTTTATTACCAATTTATTCAATACTGTCAGTATCCTCAGTGTAATAAAGAGAATAGATGAATCAGGTTTTTATAGCTCTTTGATAAAGAGTTACGGAGTTATAAGAGTTAATAAAGAGTTATAAAAGGCTTGTATGCTGTGTTCACTTTGATGTTTACAGGTTTGTTTTGTATTGTTGAATATTTGTTTTGTGTACAAAAGCAGTATAATATAATATTTTTCCTTACTGCAGAGTCTAGACCAAAGCAGTTGCTTGTGTATATTAATCCGTATGGAGGAAAACGGCAAGGGAAGAGTATTTATGAACAGAAAGTTGCTCCACTCTTCAGTCTGGCTTCTATCTCCACTGATGTTGTTAGTGAGTAATGAATATTTTAATTTCTTAATAAACATAATATGAACTCTTTAAAACATCTATGAGTAGCTTAAGTTCCTCCTGTCACTTACCTTTTCTTACTAAGGAAATTAAACTAAGCAGTAGAAAGGGAATGTTTTCTAATTAAAGCATAGGTAGCCAGATAAATGGTGACCTTATATCAATTTTCTGCTTACTAAATGAAAACCTCCAGTATTTCTGAGCTATTTGAACTCTTGATTTATAAGTTACAGGCTTTCTTCTCTTTTTTACTTTTACTGTTAAAACCAATTGTTCATGTGAACAATTTTTTTAGTGAAATACTTACCCGTATATACTGCAGTGCATTCTCTTTCAATTGGCATAAAATCTTTTGAAACGCATTTTATGGTCAGGCTGTTTTATGGTCACATTGGTAATAGAATTGTTTTTATTAATAAATTAATAATATTTTTATAATTGTATATTATATACCAATTTATAATAGTAATGTTTTTATGTGGTTTTTTTCATAGTAACTGAACATGCTAACCATGCAAAGGACAATTTATTTGAAGTTAATATTAATAAATATGATGGGTAAGTAACTTTACTTGCCTTTTTTTTTTTGTAGCTGATATATTGTGTAATCTGTTTGTTCTTGTCTCTAAATTAAAATAGTAGCCTTCTTTGCTGGTGTGTTTATTTCAGCGACTGAAAGTTCTGGGACATACTCCTTTGCATAGAAGATCCACATTTAGGAGTATCAAAGGAAAAATAAATTGTTTCAGTAAACCTGTACAACAAACAATATATTCAAGTTTAATATAACAATGTTTGCATGAGATTCATGTTCAAAAGGTGAATGTAAGATTAATTCAGCTCGTCCTGAAGTTGAGCATTCTGTGATAGCTCGAAAGCTACCCGAATTGTTTTGTGGTATAGGTGATCTTGACGTATACATGAGTCCAGAACACTGCATCAGTAGTGTTCAGCCTGAATATGAAATCCATGAACTGTTTAGAAACTTTTCAGATAGTTCCTCTTTTTCTCTGTAGGGCTTTTCAAATAATGGCTGCATCATTTGGCTTTATTTGTGTGTGTTCTGTTGTGGAACTACTGTTTCAAAAGAAGACCTAACTGAATGGTGAAATTCCATTCCATTGTTAAATCTGCAGTAGAAGCAAAATATTTTAATAAATAAGCTAGTCATTCCAGTTTCTAGTTTGTGACATAAAGCAAGTTATATGACTGGAAAATCATGAAAATGTATGCAGAACCTGTGTAGATAAACTCTCGTAACTACAGTATTTTAAAACAGTTTCTTGTTGTGCTTGTTGACAGGTACATTTAAACTGGTAAGTTGCAAAACTAAAACACTTTCTATCTTACCAGAGTGCTTTTGTTAGGGGAGCAGATCTGTAAGTATTGTATAAATCAAGTGAGGGCATGATGTTGACAAATTGTTGTAGTAAGAAACTACATTCACATGTTGAGTTCCTAGATTCCACCAGCTTTAAAATGAATTGACCTTAAATAAGCAGTTTTGACTATACTGGGATTTTTCGTAATTTTGCAGAAATGCAGGGAAGGGAAACTGGAATCTTAGAACAAACTAGTTAAGTCATATGAAAAGGAAAAATCTTAAGTGATTTGAAATAGATAATTCTGACAGTTGGTGAAATTCCAGTACAGAGCAGAAAAGTATGTCCATGTCCACTCCTAGCAAATTATTTTTTACAAGTGGCAGTGACCAATCGTAGTGGTACCTGAAGTCTTTTTGGTGGATTCAAACAGTCTCATACTGTAGAATTTTTTTTCGCTTTTTATTTGCTTTGGTGTCATGTTTTAGTTTTCTCTCTCTAACATGACTGAACTAAACAATTGGCCAGAGAACTGCATCTTTTTAGAATCTCATGATTCTTCTATTCCCAGGCTAGGCCTTCGCAGCAGTTAGCTTGGGAACTGTAATCCGTCTTTCCAAGCCTGATTTTTGTCCATCATATATAAGTCTGTTTCTGAGGTGAACAGTGATGTTAGGAAGGAGTTCCTGTATTAATATTACTTTTTAAATAACAGATCACGTGCTTTTATGGAAGATTTTTAAAATGGTTGAGCTGCATAAATGCATGTGTTTCTTCAAGTTTGATTGACTTTTCTCACGCACAGAAAAAGCTTCTTTGGATTCCTACATCTAATTGTTGTTCCTCTGTGTTCTTAGATTGGTTCTAATAAGTGGCTTTCCCTTCATTCAGTGATGAGTTTCTTCATTTAATCTCCAGGTTCCCTATTTGTTAATGCCATGCCTGTAATTTTGGAACAGGATTATTGATAACTGCTTAACTGCTTTCCAAGTGTATTTACTTAAGACAGCTTATTTAAAACTCTTGTGCATGTTTCCTCTTTGTTCTTCCCATTTCCCCTTATAAGAATTTCTTGTGGTGAGTGTGCTAGTCTGATAGCTCACTGACAGAACAGATTCTCTTTAAAGACAGTTACTTAAAGTATTAATTCCATTACAATATAGCAGGTTTTTGTACATCATTGTTCAGAACAGTTAGAGCATGTTGTAATATTGTACAGGTAACGATCAAGTTTAGAGTAAGTCTGACATGTATGAATCACTGTCCTTCCTTATCCATATGCCTCTTGCACAAGCTTTCGTAAAACTGTTTCAGATTGGTTTTTTTCCCTAGTTCTTGAATTAGTTCACAGAATGGTTGAGATTAAAAGGGGCCATAGTTCTTTTAAAACTAATTTGTCTTGTAGACTTGCTTCTCCTGAAGTCCTTTAGTGTCTGTAGTTTATTGTTTTCATCTGTCTAAAAAGTGAAATTCTAGTCCATTAGAAAAATAAACCCATAATGTAGGAATCGCTCTAAGATCTCTCTTACAGTAGTTCTTCACTAGGGAGCCATCAAACATGTGACTTGCACATTATTCATCTGATGTTTGCAATGAATTTGGTCATGCTGATACTGTGTATGTGAACTTCTTTCTCTGTCACTACTTACCCTTAGTAGGTATAGACATTTATATCATTGTAATCTCTGAGCCTGGATATAGTATTTGTTATAAATAGAACCCTACTGAGACAACATTAACGTTGAACTGACGTGGAAATTTTTGTCCACAAAACCACTTTCTTAGAGTCTTCAGGGAAAGATGAGACAGGCTAAAGTTGATGAATAATGTAGTTAAGCTATGAGAAGATAAATTAATTATAAAAATGAAAAAAACAAACATCCTTCTCTCCCAGTCTCTTAGGTCTCGACTTAGAGCTGGACAGTGTATATTTTTAAGACTGTCCTCTCCAATCATGAAAAAACAAATGGTTTTTTTCAAGCTTTCCTTCTGCGGAAAATGCAATAATAAGTAAATTTTAATCATCGATACTTAAAAATTAAATAAGCTAATTTGTCCTATAAAATAAGCGCTCATTCTGAAATATCTGTAGCTGACTGTGTGGAAGAGGTAAGAGTTTATGCGTTGGAAACAATTGCTATAGATATCAGTTAACATTCTTAAACATTTATGCTGGGGACTACATGCATATCTTTGGATTTGTCATGTGTTCCTTTAAAGTGTATTTGAATTAGTTTTTCAGTTAAAGAATGTTTATGCTTTTAGAGTTCAGGGTGTGCATTTGATTACTGCTCATGAAATGTATAGTGCTGTAAAATAGTCTTTTACTTCCTAGTATTTACTTGGCTGTGGACTCTCTGCTGAGCTTTAACATATTGAGGATCTGTGTAGCTGCTGCACCAGCTCTGACCTGAATTAAGTTTGCAAAACAAAGTTTTGCATCTGGTAACATTCAGAACTCTGTGTTTCATTATGAATGGTTATGTAGATATACATGACTTCTGTTTGTTTGATGGGCTCTCAGCATGTTCAGAAGAGCATGCAAGCATGCACCTTTCTGTTTTTTGACTTTCATATAATTTATATCCCTATTAAATTAATAGTGCAAAATATACTTGTGTCTGAAGCCACAAATATTAACTTACTTTTCCCTTTTTAGTAAAGGTACCTTATTTCCATTTTGTTTACTTAGAAAGCTATATGTACAGTCCTGTTCAGTGTTTTCCTTGTATAGTGAATTTCCACTGATACTTGTCTGTCTGCACACAGCAATAGAGGATAAAGATTTTTTTTTTTTTTTAGGTTGCATTCCAACATTTTTTTCTAACATTACAGACATGTCTAGGTGCATTTGCAGTTGTATAGCTTGAATTTTTTTTTCTGCTTTTTGTTAATTGCCAAGCTGGCTGTGGGCTACTATATTCTGTAAAAATGGAGGAGAAGAATAGAAAAACTATTTTTGATGTGCCCAGTGCATGCCCTAAATAGAACACTTGCCGTGTTGTTTATTGACTGTTAGTGTGCATTCTAATTTGTGTTTCCTGGCAGTGTTGTTTGTGTTGGTGGGGACGGCATGTTCAGTGAAGTGATGCATGGTCTCATTGGAAGAATGCAGAAGGACTCTGGCATAGACCAAAATAATCCCAAAGCATCGTTAGTCCAGTGCAATATAAGGATTGGCATAATTCCTGCTGGTAAGAAAGGGTTAACTTTCAGTTTATTCATTTATTCTTGAAATTTCTTATTATAACTTCTTGAATTTAGGCCTGAGGGAAGATATAAGCAATGATTTTCCATAGACACCTAGCTAAAGCTGTTTGTATCTCCGTATAATTATTGATCACGTGCAGTTTTATTTGGGAAGGGTACTTTGTAAAGGAAGTAAAATCTTAATGTGCAACTTTAAAATTTAATAACTTTTTTTTTCTTCTGGTGGTTTATTGTATGTTAATACAAGATAAGATGTTGACAGTAATACCTTTGCCCTGCTGAACGCATTAGTGAGTGAATTTACTGAACAGAGACTTACCTGATAAATATTTCTTCAGTTCCAAATACTCCACAAATGTAGTTAGAATTGTAATGAGAATCTCCCAGTGGTCTGTCAAACTCCAAACAAATGCTAAGATTTCTTCCTTTATTTTCTCCCCCGCTCCCCCTAGCCAGTTGTCATCACAGAAAGCATAAGGCAACTACAGCTGAGGAACAGTCCTCAGGTTCCAGACCAAGATTCAGTTTCTGCCCCTTTTTAGAGGTGATGTAACTTTACAGTTCTTAATGTCAGCCACTTTTTCAGGCAACCCTAACTACTGTCATTGAGAGGCACTTGAGAAAACTTATTCTTGGAATTCAGGTCTTTGGTGATAACCTTACTTTTTTATTGACCATAGGCACTCTTTGGATCAGTCTTTCTGTTAAATCTAGTGTCTCAGGTGTTGTCTCACCTGCCCAATTCGTCCCCAAGGTTCCTTCAGAAGTGGACTTAAAATATGACCCTCTTCCAGCACTGGATTCAGTATTGCAACTCTTTAATAGCATCTGCAATTTTGAGGACTCTGTGGAAAGACAAATAGTCAGTTCAGTGTCTTTTCTATTCTGTTCTCTTTTTATTGTCAGACGTTTGAGATGTGAATTAAAGAACTGGGATACAAAATAAGCGTTGTGTGCTTCTGACTAGAACTGAAACACAGACTTTATGATAAAATTTAGCACAGTATGTAAAAATACAGCAAGTGAAATAGTATATATATACCTTCGGGCTTTAGGTGATTAATTTTGTACTCATTATATCTTTGTGAAGAATGTCTCCAAACCCAAATGGCCTGAATTGTTGCTCAGAAGAAGCTTAACCCTTTCTGTTTGCAATACAATAAGGGTTTGATAGATAAAAATTGCAGTGGGAATATCCCCTTATGGTTTTTCATTCTCCATGTTAGCTAGCACACGAAGGGTTCTGTGTAACAGAATTACTATATTTAAGTATATTCTGATTTTATTTGTTAAAACTTTGTATTAAAATCAGTTTGTATAATAAACTTAACCAGAACAGAATGTGAAGTGTGCTACCCTTCATTGCCCTTATTTGGGCAAATTCCTTGGTCTAAAGGTTTTTGCTTACATAGTTGGTTTCAGATTTTGCCTACTGGTGATGTCAGTGACCGTAAGAAGATACAATTGAAAAAAACAAAATCTCAGTATTAAAAGCTATTTCTTTATCCTTAGGAAATTAACTATAAACATGTTAAAATGGAAAGATTAACTTTGCTTTTTCAACAATTTCTTAATGCATTTTTTCCAATTGCAACCAAAAAGTATGATCTTCACAGATATTTTATATTGTTAACATGTATCGAGTCACTTTCGTGTTTTGTTTGTTGTGTTTTGTCCACTGTAGCTGTGTTCTATTTGAACGTATACTGCATGCTCTATTCCTTGAACTAACATGAGGTACAGCCTTCTAATCAGAACAATGATTCAAATATTTTCTCCAAGTCATTATTCAGATCCCTCAAAAATTGTTTATAATGGTATAGAAGGAAGCTGGCCTTGAAGTTGTATTAATTAAGTTTTTGGAAGTACAGAGAGTAAGACATCTTGATCTGTTTGTGTATTGTACAATATTTAAAATGATCCATTACTGAAAATGTGGGAAAGTCTTTATTTACTGAAAAAGGGAATCAAATCACTGAAAAAATACTAACCCTTTGTTAACACGTCTAGCCATCACAGAGACCTTAAATTGTGTATGAAATAGCCAAACCTATGCATTACAGGGTGGTCAGAAAGGCAGCAAGAGGGTTTTTTTTTCCCTAGCCCTTGGTGAAGTTGCTTGCTCTCTGTTCATCTTTGCTTGATGTAATGGCATTCCAACCATGTATTGATCTCAACAGATCCCCTAGTTGCCAGACTAGTGCAAGAACTCTGTTCCAAAATAAGTGAGATCCTTAAAAAGACTTTTTTTTTTTTTTTTTTTTTTTGTAAATTAAACTGGCAGTTCTAAAATAGAGCAAGTCAAAAGGAATAAAGAAATAAATCATGCATCTAGAAAAACTTCATCCATGATGCTCATTTTAGTTCTTTATAACCAGCCTTCTTAAAATCCTGAGAACTCATGAACAGATACTAAAAACAAACACTACCCATAGTTTAGAGATTAAGTTCTAAAGCTCTGTCTGTCTTCTGATATATGGAGACAGTTTACTCAGTGAGGACAGGATCCTGGGGTAAGATGACACTGAATCAGTGGTTTTGCCCTTTTTATCATTTAGTTCCTAATGTCAAGCTGTGTTAACAGAAACATGGCAGATTGTGTTTTGTGGTTGTGATTAAACAGAGTTTTATTCAAACTAACACTCAATTCAGCAGACTTAATCTTTGCTCAGAAACTGTCAATTTAGTTGTACAAAGGTTTGAAAATACAGATGAAAGAGATTTAATGCTAAAACACTCTCATCTATATGACCATTTTTGAGTAGTTTTATTTCACAGGCAGAATCCCACTATGCAGGCTCTTTTTTTTAATGTTATACGCTACTTGCAAATCACGATTGTGACTTTCTGGAGCAAGCCCCTGCTTGGCCCCTTGGTTTTTTTTAACAGATGTGTCTGTCCCCAGACAGTCTCTTCCTTTAGTGTGTCTTCTGGTTAAAAAAATATAATTTATTCTTATGCTTTATGGTACATTTTTATGAAATAACTTGTGGGTTTATTGACATGATTAAAGGCTTCTACTCAAATGGCAGTTTTAACTTCCAAATTTCTCTTAGTTGAAGCCATTCATCAAATCTGCCAGTGTAAATTGACTGATTGCTGTTGTAAACGGATTTGCTGTCAAGAGTCCTTAGAGGTTGTAGTAACCTGACAAATTTTTGCACTGCGATGTGGTAACTACAATTCAACACACATACGAAAACCCCCATTTAGTTATTACTTCCTCCTAGTGCCATCTAGCCTTAAAAACACATTCAGCCATGGTTTCTCACTGCATTCAGAGTAGTAGTATGACTCCACAGAGCTTAAAAACAGAGAATATTTTCTCTTACGACATGCGGCACTGAGGTTTCATCCACATGTTTTAAGTATAAAAATTATACCCTCTGAAGTAAGCCAAAGTAATTCATTCTTCTTACTAAATCTGGCATAGAACAGGATGACAAAGCTGTCAACTGCTGTCAGATTTTTAAGTTTATGTTTCGGTGTCTGCAGGTGAGATGGACATCTAAACTCATATTCTAGCCAGGAGGCATCTGGTCAGTTTGGTCAGTAGAGCCTGTAGATCTTGTGTGGCATCTGCCTGTCTTGTGTAGATGTCTCGTTTCCTAAGGCCCTTCAAATGGGGCCTGTGTGCAAGTACCTTGAATCAAGCGCAAGCTGCCATCAACGTTCTTGACAAGATCTCATTGACCAGAATGGAAGCTTTGACGTAGTCTGCAGTGTTACATGTACACATGTAGCTACTTCTAGGTGTCTTAACCTGAAACTTAGTCATTCCCTCGCATGCTGATTTTCTTCTAGCATAATAATGTAAAAATTAGTGTCCGCACTGAAGATCTTTTTTAATGAATTTTAGGGCTCAGTTACCAAACAGTTTAAGTGCTTTCTTCACACTCACATGTAGTTCTGTGCAACCCATAAAAACATCTTGTCTTTTCCTTCACTCAGGCTGTTGCCCTTAAAAATCCCCAAAGAAAATCTGGCAGACTGTGTATATAATTTTTCTGTTCATTTAACCAGAACAAACAACACCTACCACCTAACATTAGTGAAGAGTCATGCTCTACAAAAGCTCCTTCCCCAAACTGAGTGTTCTGGCAATCCTAAACTATTAATCAAGGGATGTTAGTCAACCTATATTGACATTGTAATCCTGCTTTCTGTATCAGATTTATATGGATAAAATAAGCCAGATTTTGGTGGGTTTTGCGTGTGCATCTACTCAGAGTGCAGTTTCATCAGTAGTAAATTTTAAATCTACTCAAGACCCACCTAATTTAAAACTAAGGAGAAGACCAATTTTTGTCCAAAATAGTCTAGAATTCCTATTTGGTTATGAAGTATTCAGAGATTCAAATTCTCAGACATTATTAACATTTTTGTGACCTTTAAACTACTACTGTTAGCTTCATGCTTGGTCTGGTGTTATGACCAGTTATATTCTTTTGAAATGTATGTAAGGAATGATACTGGTTTTGTTGCTCCATACTGCTGTCTCTGAGAGAGAAAAAAAACAGCAACTTTTTACTGTTTATAGTTGGCACTCCACTGATGTGTCTGAGAAAGAGGGATGATTTGACAGTTGGTAAACACTGTTGGTGTCTTCCCCAGTCTCCCATTTTAGAATCTTAGAATTAATTTCAGACTTCAGATCTAATTTTAGCCCTCCCTTGCTAGTTAATGAATAGATATTAAAATAAGTTCTATAAAATTGCCCAGCAGATAAATCAGCTTCTAATTGACTACAGAAGAGTATGGGGAGATAAGCCTCCGGTGCTAAAGTACAGCTTGCATGAATTCTCCTCTTCTCCTCCCACCTATAATGTAAGACTACTTGGAAGCTCTGTTTACATCAAGACAAACGTGACTAAGGTGATTCTAGCAGCAGAATACAAACAGATATTGAAGAAATGGGAAAGGCTGAATGAAATGTTACACTTGTACATTGAGCAGTAAAAGGTCAGGTGAGATCTTCTAGTGGCTATTTTGTTTGTTTGTTTTTCTTTTCATAAGCAGCAAGAATCTTCTGCCTAACTGAAATTTATGAAAGTAAGAGGCAAAATGAAAAAATTGGCAGTAAAGCATGGCTTTGGTATCTGAACTCTACTTAATATTTTCTGCATGATAACATAATCTGTGCACCTTGCCTGTTAGGATACTGAGAGAAATTGGAGTCCTGTTTCTTGTGCAGTGGCATGTACTTGTAATGGTACGCTTACACCATCTTGAACCTCAGTCTTGCAGAGAAAGATCTCTTTAATCACACTGTTTCTTTTGTTCTGTAGATCTATTGTATTTATATTCTCTTTAATTGGCTCCTGGAGCTGCTTCTTTTTCATTGTGGCTGGCTTCTGCATAGCGTTTACTTGATAGAAGCTCCTCTCATGCCCTTCACTGTTAGGGGAGGTGGTGACCATTTCCTGCGAAGTGAGTCGGAGGGAAAAGGATTCTCTAATCCTATTGATAACTGTATATACCCAGACTGTTCTTGAAGTGAGAGAGAACCAAAAGTGTATTTTAAATAATGATTGCTCATTCCTTCATTTTTAGTTTTCTATTTCAAATTGATTAGGGCTCAGAAATGAAGTAGTCTGTATCTGAGCTGCCCTACATCTAATGCATCAGTAGTAAATCTGAGAACATACATGTGGACAGAGTAATTTTTTGTTTTCAGGTTTCCAGACTTAACTTTAAAGGAATTATTTTCTTGGAAAGGATGGGAAAAATTTCACTTCACTAATTGCTATATATTTGTTACTTATATAGTGAAAATCGTTGTACTTTGTATATAGAGAAATAGATTCTACTCATTTTGTGGAAAAAAAAGGTTACAATTTATATAATAATATTTGTATCCTTGTATTTACTTTGTTCCATAAAATAGAAAGGTGCAAGCCAAAGGAATGTAAAGCTTTTATTTGGAGGACCACGACAAATAATACTTGTTTCAAAAAGATATAAATTAATATCTAGTTTTTTATTTTTCAGGATCAACAGATTGCATATGCTATTCAACTGTTGGCATTTCCGATCCAGTAACATCAGCTCTTCATATTATTGTAGGTGGGTGGTCACAGTTCACTGTTTTGTTATAAAAATTATGAAAATAGCCAAAAATAGTAATTTCATTTACTTTTTTCTTTACGTCTGTGAAATATAATTTAGATGTAACAGCTGAGTTGAAATACAGAGTTTCTGTCTGGGATTCAAGTCTCTGATTTGAAATACAGGAGGTTAAAAATTAATTGCTTTCTCTACTGTTATTCATTATTTTCAAGGGTTCATAACATTTTGAAACTTTATATTTGGTGCTTAAGTGTTCATGCATTCTGGCATGCTTTTGAAAATAGCAGTAAAATACAATAAACAGTGTAAGTTGTTGGACTACATCTCTATATATACATATCTATGTTAGAGAAAACTATGACAAGTGCATGTACGCTTGAATAGTAGTATTTTGTACTAGTTGCCCTCTCGTCCTGTGCAATTCAATGCTTCCGTGCCAAGGCTTCTGCTTGACTGGAATTAGCTGGCAATTCCCCATTTTTACTGTCTGTAAGTCATATATTTGAGGAGGAACTAGGGAGGAAAATAAATATGCTTCAATAAATGCTTTTTGACGTGTTGTGATCAGTAGGGATGCTGACATTGCTACTTCTCGAAGTCGTCTAGTAATGGAGTCCCTGAACTGCACGGGAGCAGGAGGAGACAGCTTGGAATGTTCAATGCATTGCGATTTGTGATGTCCATCCTATCTTGCCACATACTGAAGAATCATAGTCACCCAGTTCTTAGTACTGAATTTGAAAAATTGTGCAAGGTGGTCTTCAGTTCTAATGGTGTTGCATAAGCATAAAGGATAGAATTTCCAAATAACAATTATTTCATTATCACTTATTACTGAGTGCTTAACAGTTGCAGTTTTAGGAGCTAAGGTTTACAGGTGTGCTTCCCTGTTACTATCCTATGGTTACCTCTGTTCAGCATATGTGGAGTTTAGGCCATTGGACTAGGATTAGAGAGATGGATTTAGTACATCATAGTATATCATAGTATTTTAGCTTGATTATTAATCATGCATATATACACAGGTATTTAGATTCTCAGGTGTTTCTCACTTACGTAAAGGGTTCTTCACAGTAGTCCGTGGTGGAAGGATGAAAGACAGTGGGCATAAAGTGAAACAAGAGAAAATAGAAGACCCAAACCAAGCAAAAAAACAAACAAGCAAAGAAACAACATATGCCTCGAAAGCCCACCACCACTCCAAAGCTTACACTATGAGGACATCAGAGAGGTGGCGTACTCTCTTTTCTCAGGGATTTTCAGGACTTGACTGGATAAACCCTGAGTAACCTATCTGACCTCATAGTTGAACCTGCTTTGAGTGGGTGATTTGATGAGAAACCTCCTAAGGTCCCTTCCAGCTTGAATTATCCTCTAATAGTATGACATACAGGATTAAGTAGTATCTGGTAGATGAACAGGTACTGCATTGATCTCTTCTATAACAACTCTTCCTACTGCTACATGGTAAATGAGTGTAAATTCTTCATTATATATTTTTGGCATACTGACCTCTTTCTTCTCACTTAGAGCTTAATGCTTTTTAAATACTAAATGAAATTACTATTAAAAATATTTTTTTCCTTTCTGCATGTATAAGAAATATATATAGATATGTGAGGTATGTATATATATATATGTCATGACATAAATACATCATACAAATATTTTTCAAATAAAAAAATATAACATTAAAGGTACTGTCATGTTTGCAGCTGCAAACAAAATAAGCCTTAATAGAACCTTGCACTTCTAATCTTCATAGGTGACTGTCAGCCTCTGGATGTCTCTTCTGTACATCATAACAACACATTTTTGAAGTACTCTGTATCATTGCTGGGTTATGGTTTTTATGGAGATATATTAAAAGATAGTGAAAAGAAGCGGTGGATGGGTCCGATGAGATATGACTACTCAGGTAACCTGTGTAATTATTACATTCTTTTGTCAGCATGTAAACATATTGGAGCAGTTGAGGTACTCTCTTTGAACCAACCTTCTCTGAAGTTTTTAAACATCAGAAACAGACTGAACCTGATTTTAAACTCTTTGTAGTACCATGTAAAATTTATGTAGTGTAGGCCAATTTTAAGATTCAGCAATGATGTATAGCTAAAATTTTTAGTTGGCTTTTAAAGATGTCAAGAAAAGTAATGGCACTATTTGCAGATGTTAAAAAGTTGCAGGGATGGTGTTTTATTGCTATGTTGTTTAGAGTCTAAAACATCATAACACAAAGAGCTGTGAGCTTGGGGAGGGCAACTATTGTTTTGCAGTCCTTAGAGAAGGAAAGAGAGGAACAATCAAGGGATGTATGCTGAGGTGCTTGCAGTGTGGATTTATAATGACTTAATGCTGCTTAATACCTTTTTACGTAGGCTTCAAGACTTTTCTTTCTCATCATTACTATGAAGGAACAATTTCTTTTCAACCAGCAAAACACACACTGGGATCTCCACGAGATAAAGATAGCTGTAGAACAGGGTAAGCTAATGTTTATCTCCGGATATTTGACATGAACTATTTGAAAAGGCCTGTACGTAAATAGAGGTCACAGAAATGTTGTTTTTAATATGAGAGCACTTACTGTGAAAGAGACGAGCTTGTAAAAAAAATGTATTGGCTCATTAAAGAGAACACCTCGTTTTATCAGATCAGTAAAAAAAATGTAATAAAATTTTGTTAGCTGGTGTCCCCCCCAATTTTAAGTGAAGCAGAGTGTAACAGCGCAGTATGCAGTTTCTAAGATGCTGAGGGTACTATGCTGTGACACTGATAATAAATGAAGAGTCTGGATGCCTCATAACTTCTACAAATGGAAATAATTGCTCAGAAATTCTCAAATGTTCACACTGTAATTGGATCTAGCAATTTTAGTGATTGTTTTAGTGCTATGAAAACAGCTGACATGGTTTGTCCTGATAGGCCCTCTCAGGAATCAGTCTATTTATCCTTTTTTTATAGACTACTACTATGCTGTATAAATTCTGTGTGATATTCTTCACTTGTTTCTCCAATTGGGGGCCTACCTTAATATCCCAGTGTTCTTTCCTTTCTTTTTGTTTTCACCTGCTTGAAGTTATGCACTGGTATTTACTATTATTCTTTATATATGAATGTAACTACCAGAGATACAGTAGTTGTCACAGCAGCAAACAGCACAGCAGGATACAGAGGACCCAGAAACTTTGTCCAGAAACTGTGTGGAACTTGTTGAGACTGTGCTGTGTTAGTGCTGTGACATGCTACAGATCACAGTCTCCAGTACTAGCTGGAGCAGCTGTCCTGATCCATCAGATGCCTTGATGCAAGGGAAACTCCAGAGGGTGAAAGCTGTCATCCAGGTCTCAGAGAGTAAAGAGTGCCTAGTGCCTCACAGGGGATTTTATACATCCTGGTGGTTTCTGGAAAGGCAGTAGGGCTGGGCACAAGCAGTTACGGAGAATCCTGGAGTATGGTGATGACAGTGATCATGCAAGTGATTGACAAGCTGACTAGGAGAAGTGCTCTGCTCTCTGCTGGTCTTGTTACAGAAAATGAAAGTGGGGGGTGCGACGGTTGAGGGCAGTTTTGGCACCAGTGGCTGTGAGATTACAGAGTTTAAAATCCTGAGAGAAGTAAGCGAAACAAAAAGTAGAATTGCAACCCTGAACTGTAGGAGAGCAGGTTTTGGTTTATTGAGGAATCTTGACAAGATTCCATGGGAGACTGCTCTAGAGGACAAAGAAGCCCAGGAGAGTTCGTTGGGACCTCCTCAAAGCACAAGAACAGTCCATTCTGATATGCAGAAACTTGAGTAAGCATGATAGAAAACCAATGTGGATGAGCAAGAATTTCAGAAGTAAAGAGAAGGTGGAAGTGGAATGGATTACTTTGGAAGAACACAAAGACGTTGCCTAAACATTCAGGGATGGAACAGAGAAAGCCAAAGCTCAGGTGGAGTTTAAATCAGTGGGGGCTTTGAAGGGTGTTACTTCTTACAAAGGCATTATATAAGTATACCAATCATAACAAAAGGCTAAAGGAACTGTGGGCCTGCTGCTTAGTGGTATGGGGAACCTAGTGATAAAAGATATGGAAAAGGATGGGAAATTACTCCTTTGCCTCGATTTTCACTGATATACTCTGCCCTCAGGCCTTATAGGTCCCCAAGCCCGTGGATGAGGGGGAAACAGTGGGTGATATACCTTGACTTTTGCAAGGCCTTTGGTACTGTTTCCTGTAGTATTCTTAAAACGAAATTGATGAGGTGTCGACTAGACGAGTGGATGGGTGGAAAACTGGTTAGACTACCTAGAAAGGTTGTGAGTAGCAAGTCCAACAGGCAGTCACTTACTAATGATGTGCCTTGGGGATCCATACTGGGGCTAATACTGTGCAACATCTTTGTTAATGACTGGGACGGTGGCAGAGTGTGCACTCTCAGCAGTTCTGTGGATGATACCAGACTGGGAGGAGTGGTTTACATGTTGAGTCAGGGCTGCTATTCAGAGGGACCTTGGTGGGCTGAAGAAATGGCTGATAGGAACCCCCTGAAGTTCAGGATAGGCAAATGTCACGTACCTGGGGTGGAGTAGTCCCATGCAACAGTACTGGCTGGAAGGCAGCTCTGCCAAAAAGAACTTTGGGATCCTGGCGGATAACATCAGTACCTGAGTTAGCAGGGTGTCCTTGCAGCAAGGAAGGCCAACCTTATATTGACCTTTATAAGCAAAAGAAAAGCCAACAAATCAGAAGTGATTCTTCCCCTGTACTCAGCACTTGTGAGATGAAGGACTGGCTCCAGTATGTCAGTGTTTTCCACTGTTACAGCAGTCAAATATTGGAACAAGTTGCCCAGAGGTCTTGCAGACTCTACCCTTGCAGATATTCAAAACTTGGCTGAACAAGATGCTGAACATCCCCATCTTACAAGACCTGTTCTGAGCAGAGGTTTGGTCCACATCAGAGGTCCCTTCCAACCTGGCTTTTTGATGCAGTTATTTCTGACGTTGAGAAATCTTCAACACTGTACTTACGTACCTATACTGCCTGCAGGGCAATCATGGTTCATGCCACATCAGGGTTGTCAGTGCCATGCTGAAGCTTGTGGTAGAGGAAGATCTTGTAATAATTGGGTAAAATAACAAAAGTTGAACTGAATAATAGTTTTGTTTTCAGGAACTGAATGGTATTTTTGTTTTCAGATGTTACATTTGCAAGAAAAGTGAGCAACAGCTGATGGAACAGCACAAGGAATGTGGATTGAAACATGAAGGTAATTTATCATAAAAAGTAGGATGGTGTAGTATTATACAAATTATTATTTTTCATAATATATCAGTTGAAGTGTGTGTGTGTGTTTTGGGTTTTATTTTTTAAACATTGTGAGTTACTATATAATCCATTGTTTCTTTATGTTTAAGGAAAACACATGTAAATATGTGAAAAATAGGTAAGGTGTCTCCTCCAGTCAAATCTCAGAAAATTCCGATAAAATTATACTAATTACTTATATATTTCAATGTATTTGGTTTCTCTTCTTTAGGAAAGATATACTCTGTGAGCTAGGACTCTGTTCTTACTGTGAGGACTTAACTGATAAACTGTGAGGTAGTGTATAAGGAAGCAGTTCATTAACTTCTAGAATAGATCAGGATTAAAAATTTGTTAGCATAAAAGTTACCCTATGTAAAGCTGTTTGTTAAAGAAATATAAGGCAGTGAACTTGGACAAATAATAACTGATCTAGTGGACTTAAGTGGACAGCACCCCACCAATACGCAGTATAAATGATAAACAAGATTTCTCTGTTCTTTCTCTAGTTATGCTATCCTTATTCTCCTTTTGCCCCCATACCAACCCCTGTCTATACATCCATGGATTTTTTTTGCGCATAACTCTTCCTTTTGTTAAAACAACTGTTAATATACTGCATTCTGTCCAGTCATCCTCCTAGTTGTATGTCCTTATGTCGAACTATTACGTCCTAATGGGAAGCACTGATACTGATAAACTTGTGGCTTTGCTGGAGTAAGATAGGCAGAATCAGTTGGCTGCGTTTCGCCTCTGGTATCAGTTCACAGTCTTGGATAAATCCCTCTTAAACAGCAGGCAGCCTTCACATGGGTGCTTGCTTCTGCTGCCTTCTGCTTTTACTTTTTTTTTTTTTTTCTTTTCCTTTGGTCCTTATGACCTAGATTATCTTATAATTACAGTTATTTCGCACAGTATCTGTGCCAGGTTCTAGCCATTTGTTAGCAAAAAGGGTATCATCATACTATAGAGATTCACTGGTAGCATGAAGGCTGTATATAGATTCTTATGCCAACTTGAATTCCTGTTACACATGCTTATTATATAGTGTTTTCATCCCAGCTACTGCTTTCAGATCTTTGATATAGTCAACAGATGGCCAGATTGGAGTATTTCTTGAGTTATTTTCATTTATGCCCAGATTCAGCTAAAGAAATTGCTTTACATAATATTTTCTTAGGAGCTAAATCTGATAGCAGATTTTTTTTGGTAAGAAAAAATTCTGTCTTTTTGAGAAATAAACGTAGTTAGAAATTGCCGACATTTTTTCTTTTTTTTGTGGGGTTATTATTCTTGGTATTGTTTTGCTGTGTTTAGGGTTTTGGTTTTTTTTGGAAATCTGACATTTTGTTAGTTTTAGTCAAGCAAAGGCAAAAGAAAGCTATAGCTTAGTGACCCATCAAGACTGTTTTAGCCAGCATTGCACAAGATATTAAGGAGCTGATTATGTAGGACATTGTTTACTCTAAATCCATTTTACTTCCGGTAACTGGATTTTTTTGCAGTCCAGTCTCTGTGCAGTACTGTTAAGCAAACAATAACAGTCAGCTACTCTTGGTTTGCAATAAAAAGGATTTTAAATTACCACGTCAGATGAGCTTTTTACTCAGCAGGGTGTATTGGCTGACTCCTTCATTGTGCCTGCTTAGTCTGTGTACAATTCAGATAAGTTTAGAAGGATGCCTACATTGGCTGTCACTGAACATATTTCTTTGTATTGTGCGAAAGTCTATGTTCATGTGCTGAGTAAGCTTTGAATGTTAGTACTTTATGATGATTTCAGCGACTTGCAGTATATATACACCATAGACAGTTGGAATGAGTGCCATTTATGCTCTCCCTGCTTATGATTGCTCTATGAAATATATTTTGGGCCAATAATTTGTACTATTACAGTGATGCACCCTGCAGAATGGTTATGAAAACAGTTGGTCATTTGAAATGTGATAAATACCCTCACTTTGTTCTCGAACAGTGAAGCTTTTTTGAAATAACATGCTGAAATTTATACTGAACAGTACTTTTCCACCAGGTGAAAACAATCTATTACAGTAACCTACGTAAGTATTCTACCTTAAGTAATTTGAGACATATATTACAGTAAGCATACTTCAAAAGTTAACACTATGAACTAAATTATTAGTGTTTCTCAGATAAACAACAAAAGCATTTATCAGTAAAGAGTGTTGTTTTTGTTTTGGGGTTTGTATATCAAAAAATGCCTGGTTTTCTTGTAAGTACATGCTTGTATAGTTCTGGACACAGATGTTTCCAGTTCCAGTAGTTTCTTAAGTCCTGTTCAGTTACCTTCATCTCCAAGCAGGGCCTTGTCATTTGCCTGCAGTGTGAACAAAGTCATTCTGTAGTTTGACATTTATGTCTTTCTCATCTCTCTTAAGATACACATTTTGAATCTGATTTAAATTATTTCTTTCTGTTAAGTCCTGCTTGAAAGCAATGTAAAAAAATCAGCAGTAAAGCAAGCAATACTAAAGCAATTTTAGCAAATGGTGCCAAAATGTTGAATTTAAGAGCTGAATTTTTTTCTTGTTATGACTGATTTGTTTATCAGGAAATAGAGAGGATAGTCTAGTTGGAAAAGAATAAAATTTTTAAAAAGTTAAAAATCCACTTGAACTTTCACACTACAAGAGTTGTAACTTTCCTCTGTCTTTTCCCTGCCTAAGGCTTTGTAGGTTTCGCCAAATATCATTGATCCTGAATTTAACATTAATATATCAGAAATTGTGAGTCTTAGCAGATAATCGCAGTCTGTGAAGGAAGAAAGCAACTTTCTCTGTTAGTATATGACAAATGTATTTTTTTTAATTCAGGTTTTTTCAGATGTGCATTGACAGTGTATGAATATGCCCAATAAAACTTCTAAGTTGCCAAGAATGGTTTCTTTTTAGTGTTCTTGTGATTAGATCAAATAATAACCTATCTCCATGCCTTTATTGATGTGTTTCAGAACATGAAGAAGAATGGAAGGTTATTAAAGGGAAATTTCTAGCCATCAATGCAGTAAATATGAGCTGTGCCTGTCCACGAAGTCCAAAAGGTCTTTCACCAGCAGCTCATTTGGCAGATGGTTCAGCTGACCTCATTCTAGTTCGTAAATGCTCCAGATTTGATTTTCTGCGGTACCTTGTCAGACATACAAACCAAGATGATCAGGTGTGTATTCCGTTTGACACTGAATTCTCCAGAGTCAGTCTAAATTGTAAATATCAATATTCTTATATGACAAAAATAACATCTGCAAAGCAGTTTAGAAAAAAAGAAATTTATACGCTTTGGGTGACATAATCTCAGCCTGTGTACCATTAAAAAAAAAAATACATTTTGGCTAAGTAAAGTTTTTAGCCATAGCATTCTAACAAAATTTCACTTTTGCTAATTGAATGCTGTTTCATAACATTTTCCATATATTTGCTGTTTGGACAATATTTAAAGTGATTTTTATCACAACTGTGCCCCCATGTATTTGTCATTAAAAGCTACTCACAGTAGCTGATGTAGAAGGAGTAGTGAAGAATAATAAATCACTATTTGTAAACTGTATAAAAATGTGATTTAGAAGAAAGTTACCAGAACTGTAGTTTGATTGTAAACTGCAGGCTTTTAATACATAGATGTGACCAGGATATGAGCTTTATGCATTCAGCTTCAAAATTTTTCCTTGCGTATGTTGTAGTTTTCAGGATAAACTACACGGGAAGATTCATCACTGCTTTGGATTATAGTATCTGCTGAAACCGGAGTTATGACTGTGAATACACACACATAATATTTATTACAACCTGTTATTATTAACATGTTTTGGAAATTACCTGAACAATGGACTAATGTCATATCTAGTTATAAAAGCAATAATGAATCTCACTTGTCTATGATGCTATTCTTCGTCCTTTCTTAGAAGAATTAGTATGGATTCTCTTTCCTGTATTTGCTCATTACCATTTCCTGGGACATTGTGTTTGTGTCTGTATTCCTCCTTCAGTCTCTTCTTCTTCTCAGTCTCTTTCCTTTCACTCCTTCCCATTCACTCTCATTGTTCCCTTGATAATTTTGATTATTTGAGGCCTTCTCTGGCTACCTTTCAAATTTACTCCAATATTTATCAAGAGACTACATTCCACTTAGACTTGAGACATGAGAGCATTCATGGGTGGCTCTGTGCAGCCGTGGATACCAGTTTTTGCAACCAAGTTGTTTGGATTAGCACACTGGTTAGTGATTCTCATCGTATCAATGAGCCACTGCTTCCAAGTGTGGAGTTTGACAATTTCACAGTTTGTTTATAGTTAAAAGCTGAGAGAGCTAAAGATCTAGGAGATCCCTTCAACTCTGATGCATTTTGTGATTGCCATTGTGGCCGTTCGCCTTCCAGTGCTTCCCATCTGTTTCTCTCTGGGATATGTTGATTTTGTACTGTAGATTAAATGCAGGGTTGTACATATGTCTTCAGCTCAGATTAGTGCCTACCATAATAGTGGGAAATCCTGCTTGAAAACTTAAGAAAATGTCAAAAGAAAAAGGAAGGAAAGAGTGACTGTACATTAATACAGACTGGTTTATGGGTAAAGTGTTGTGTTGTTCACTTTTGTTTTCTTGCCATCCCCTTCCTATGGATGCATACAGACACACTTCATTACCTTTGCTAAATGACATGTTTGTATTTATTACATCTTGCTAAATGTTTAAGTCCATAATTAAGTTGCTTTCAGGGCAGGTGGGGACAGATACCCTATAATTTGATTTTTCCTTTAATTTACAAGCCCTGTTTTAAAGCATTTGTACAATATTGTAGTGTAAAACTGCAACCTCTGTTATAAGAGCTATCTCTTAATAGTCTGACTTTTTCTAGCTGAATGAATTAGTTAAAATTATTTTGTTGGAATGTAATAATATTGCCCTCTGTTCTTATTTTCATATACACCCAGCTCTGTGATGTGATCACACTGCCATGGATTTTTCACCCTTTGTTCCAAATGCAGAAGCAGAAGGCTTTCAGGAAAGACCATGTGTCTTAAGGACTGTAGTTGAACAGGTCCTGAGGATAGTACAGAGATCCAATCCAAACCTTTTTGACTTTAATTCCATGTTATAATAGTTTTTATAAGGTATTTTAATAGTCTTTTTACCCCACTTACTCATAATGTCAGAATCTTACATGATTATCTATATAGTGTCAGTATTGCAGCTACTTGAAGAGGACCATTGAAAATTAAAGTTCCTTTTTGGCTTTATTGTTTCTGACTTCTGCAGTTTTTTTAAAAACAAAAATCACTCTATGCCTCAGGTAAGCCTCTCTAGAAAATTGGAGTGGATGGACTTTCTTGAATACAAAATGCTGCATGCTGAATTCCTTTACACATCAAATGTATTTAACTAATTGTAATTGCCTGGTTTAATTTTTTTTTTTCGTTGTAGTTTGACTTCTCATTTGTAGATGTTTATCGGGTGAAGAGTTTTCAGTTTACATCAAAGCTTTCAGAAGACAACGAAAGCAATGTCACAGACATAGGAAAGAAACGTTTTGGCCAGTTCTGCAGAGATCATCCAGCATGTTGTTGTAATATTGCTAATAGCACCTGGAATTGTGATGGAGAAACTCTGGACAGTTCAGCAATTCAAGTGAGGTAAGCATGGATTTTTCTCTCCATATTTCAGAAAACGTTAAGTCTTTACACTGATTTTTAAGATGCTTATAAAGACATCCCAAAAAGGTGCCTCTGCATAGCAAATTTGAGTCTTCTGATAATAAACTTAATTTTTTTGTTACTTTTTTGAGTCCTTTCCAGAGAATACTCCAACCATGTATACTGTAATCACACTGACTGAGATAGATGGATGGCCCTACCTTTCAAGTCATACTTACTTCTTAAGAACTGGTACTATGTTCTTGAAGTGCTGAAGGTGAAGATGTTGGGAGGATTCATTTTAAATGAGTGGAGTACTCTGAGCCGTACTTTTTTTTCCTATTAAGCTTAAGTAAGCATCTTTGTCTTATAGAAATATTGAGTATGTCCCATACTTTGTTTTTTTGACACACAGCACAGAGTTTTATCTCCAGACTTGGCATATGGAGAAAGAAGTTTGCAGTTGTGCAAATAATTAAATTAAAAGGGAATAGAGATTTGTGAAACTTGAAGAGCTTGTTTCTTTTTTGTTTGGGTTTTTTTTTTGGTTGGTTGATTGTTGTTTTCAGAACAAAGGGAACCAAAAACACAATACAAAATATTTACATGTAAGTGTGTTCCATTAAAACATAATCACTGAGCATTCCAAACTGATTTTTATAAATACTATGTATTGTTTAAGATCAGCTTATCTAAGTGCCCCATAGAACTTTTTGTGTGGAAAAGAGGAGTAACAGGAGTGATGGATACTTGAAAGCATCCAGACTTCTTTGCAGGGGAGGATTATATCAAGAATGAGAGCACAGTTTGTGTACTCTGGAGCAAAGAACTTTGTTCAATTGCTTGAAATTCATGCATTATTAGAATTAAATATGTAGTACCTCTTCATTTCTTACTGATTTCCATATTTTTCAGGGTTCACTGCCAGTTAATGAAACTATTTGCAAGGGGAATTGAGGAAAACTGCAAAGATGAAGCTGCCTACAGCCAGAGTAGCGTTGAACAATTACTATAGACATTGTTCCTTCCGTGGGGAGAAGAAAAAATAAAAGCTCAAGAAAATTGAGTAAATATGCATTTTAGTCAAATTGACAAGTATTTCAAAATTTTAGATTTTTTTTTTCTTTATGGCGTCAGTATAATTTTAGATATCTTACTGCATTGTGTCATTTTTTAAAAAACATTGTAATCATTAAAATATATCTTGGAGCAATGTAATCTATGTTAGAAAAGAGAGAATTGGCATATGTATATGTATTCACAGTGACTGATAAATTCTTGGTGCTTTTCTAGAGAGCTAATTTAGCAGTTGTGTTGCAATAATATCTAAATGTTATAAAACATTGGACTGTCCGTTGTCATCAAACCAAGATATCAAGACAAGATATTTTCAGTGTCTGAGAAGGCATTTTATGCTGGGAGTGTTGCGTAGTTGCATGTGGCTTAAATTCTGGACAACAGTGTTGTCATGCGCATCTGTTTTTTTAGTAAAATCTTTCAGTTTGTAATTCTGACTATATCTTGCAACTTATCAATGCAATTCAAGCACACATTCCTGGCTTTAAGTAATAACAATAAGAGTTTAGAAATACTTTGAAAAATTAAAGCACATCTGTATACAGATCATACCTTATCCTATATATTCTATTTATAAAGGCTTCCTTGCATGATGCTTTTTGGGATTATAAAGGGTTTTATGACTGTTTGGATGATACCAAATACTACACACTGCAAATGAAATGTCTTGCAAGCAACTCACAGGGATACTTACATAATACCCAGGAAGGAGCAGGCAAAGGAAAATATAAATATCTTCTGAAACACCAGCAAATGTTAATTTTTTTTTTAAATATCTAAAATTAATGTATTAAAAGCTTCTCTCTTTGGTACACAATTCTTTGAAGATTCTACTACATGTGTTAGAATGTCTTTGCAAAATAAGATCTTGGAACGTTAAGTTTAAAAATATGATTTGATGATTGAAAGTTTTTAAAATCTTTAAGTATGAAAAAATACTTTGTTTTTTGAAGTCAAGGGAAGAAACTGGCATCTGATAAATCTTGAATTCACTGTGCTGATTTGTTTTTATAACAAAAAAATATTTGACTATCATATATAGCTATGGAGTGATTATTTAAGTTGTGTATGGATTTGTGTATTGTGTCGCATACATGTTCTGTGTGTAGATTTGGGGCTAAATTTTGCTCCTCTTGTACAGATTTATTCCTGTTTGAGGATCAGAAGTTAGCCCCTGCTCTCTTCTATCTTTTATTAAGTGTATAGTTCTTTTTAAAACTTACCGCATCTGAGGGTTTTTTTGCATCTGAACAGCTAACGATTCTCTATTCATGTATATTTATTGGCACTTCTGTTATTCAGCTTGTATTAATTTCATGTCTCATGTATTTGTTCTGTGTAAGCCATGGTGATTGGTCATTTTATTACTGAAGCACTTGAAAATTGTTATAAGTGGCAGATTTTTTTTTTTCTGTTGAAGTTATTTACATTCCAGTTTTGTGTAATATTAAAATGGTGGGCTATATCTTTGCTACAAAGTGTTATTCATACTGCTCTAAATGACAAAAAATCACTTGCAAATGATATTTGCTTAAAGTACAGTCATACAAAGTTTAAGATCCGGGTTATTTTATATAGTATTTCAGGAAAATACTTGAATACTTTTCCAAAAGTACTGCTGTTTACTTTCCTTATTAATGCAATGAGTTGAAATGTTGATTGATCCAATGTATTTCAGACATTTGTAACACAAGTGTTATGTATACTGTATTTTTAAAGCCATGTTTAATAAGTGAAATAGTACTTTTGAACTAAGAATCCCATTGAAAATGATACTGTGCAATTCATAGAACAATAAGATGGTTTGGGTTGGAAGAGACCATAAAGATCATCTAGTTCCAACCCCCCTGCCATCGACAGGGACACCTTCTGCTAGATTACTAGTTATGCAGATGCAAATATTTTTTGAAAGTGTCCTTTTTTAAAAAAGTTCTATGGTTATTGTGGTCTATCCATAAATACTGGGAGAGAACCCAGACTTTAAGTTACTGTAATTCTTGTGCACGATATGATGATGCACACTCAGCTTACCAACAGATGAGGAGGGCATTTTTGAGGCATTACAGCTATCCAGAACATATTCTCATAAATGAGAACAGGAGTAAATACTAACCAACTCTTTCTGTTAGTTCACTAGCAAGTCGTGACACCCTTATTTGAAAAATGGAGGCTTAATCTCATTGTGAATATATATCGAAATGCTTTGAATATTTTTAATATCTGAAAGTGAGTGCTTGGTGTTTCCAAAGAGCCACATTGAAGGTCGCCTTTCTGAGAAACAAGCTACCAGAAAGAAGGAGAAAAGATTGTAGTATGGTAATGAAGTGTGAAGTAAATAATAAAGATGTCGCAACGTAATAAAATGAAAAGGTCTTAGGTAATAGAAAAACTGCATAGTTACATTTGAATAATTCTATTTGTAGCATATTGTAGTAGCAAAGCACCATATGTGACTTGTATGACATGTTCAGTTTATGTTTAAGAAGAGAGCTGTGTAAGTAATGTCTGCTTACATTTTAATTCTAGGGGTTTTTTTTCTGTGAATGTAGTCTCAGTATGGAAATTATGTATAAGAAAACCAAGTTCAATTATTTTAATTTTTTTCCCCCCAATCTTGCTGGCTTCAAGATTAGAAAATGTGTTCTATGACGCTAGGGCATTTCACTGAAAAAATAAAATTACGTCATACAGCAATACAGTAGCTTTTTTTTTTAAACTCAATTTGAAAAAATACCTACCTTTGTTCGGCAGAGATCTGGCTCAATGTAACCAACATGGGCATATTAAACCAGGCGGAGGAGTAAGCTTCCACTTGGGTTCACCATAACTTGATAACAAGTGTGAGTGTGGTCAAACACTGAGAGTGAAGGAAAGCAACTAGTAAAGCTGGACTTACACTAGAACTAAGCAACTGTACCCAGGTAGACTAAAGATTGAAGGGGAAGGAAGAAGTTTAACGTAAGTATTTAGAGTTATTTATCATGGAAAAATCTAAACTACAAAAAGTGAAGGAAAACTACCGTTCTAAGCAGCATGAAATATGTATTACACTATAAATAGTATATAGTAAATAGATGGGTTTTTTTTAGAATTTCATTGCAATCATTATTACAGATGCAGTACATATTCTAATAAGAAGTAAAACACATTCGTTGTAGATGAGCAGTGAGCACAGAAGGAGAACGTGCTTTCCAGCACTGTAGAGGCTTCTGCTTTTGAAAGTGTATTGGGTTTATGCAGCAAGGTTTTGGTAGCTGCGAGGGCTGCAGGGGTGGCTTGTGTGAGAAGACAGCAGAAGCTGTCCCTGGGTTGGACAGAGTCCCAGCCAGCTCCAAGATGGACCTGCCACTGGCCAAAGCTGAGCTGATGGGTGACGTTGGTAGCACTTCTGTAAAAAGCACTGCACAGCAGCTGTGAAAGGAGTGAGGGGAGAATAAAGAAAAAACTCTGCAGACACCCGGGTGAGTGAAGAAGGAGGGGGATGAGGTGCTTAGGTGCTGGAGCAGAGATTCCCCTGCAGCCCCTGGTGAAGCCCGCAGTGAGGCAGGCTGTGCCCCTGCACCCGTGGAGGTCCGTGGTGGAGCAGATCCCCACCTGCAGCCCGGGGGGGACCCCACGCCGGAGCAGGTGGGTGCCCCCTGAAGGAAGCTGCAGCCTGTGGTGAGCCCATGCTGGAGCAAGTTTCCCGGTAGGCGCTGTGGATGTGGAGAGGAGCACGTGCATGAGCAGGTTTTCCAGCAGGAACTGTGGCGTATGGGGGACCCAAGTAAGAGAAGTTCATGAAGGAGGAAGGAGCGGGAGAAAAGATGAAGTGTTATGAACTGACCACAGCCCCCATTTCCCATTCCCTTGTGCTGCTCACGGTGGGGAGAGGAGGTAGAAGTGTCGGGAGTAAAGCTGGGTCTGGGAAGAAGGCAGGGAGGGAAGAGGAGAGAAGGTGGTTTTAGTTTTGTTGTTGTTTCTGACTACCTTGCTCTGTTATTAATTGGCAATTCATCTTCCCCAAGTCAAGTCTGTTCTGCCCCTGACTGCAATTGCTGAGTGACCTCCCCATCCTTAGATCAACTCACGAACATTTCATTGTATTTTCTCGCCTGGTCCTGCCAAGGAGGGAGAGGGACAGTGGCTGGGTGGGCGCCCAACTGACAGCCAAGGTCAACCCACTACGTGCACTTACGCAACAGGGCAACATTTCCAGGGAAGTCTTATGACATGAATGGGAAGATGGTATGTAGAATCAGAAATTTCTCTGAACAATTCAGTCTTGCAGTTCAAGTATTATTTCCCTAGAACTCCTGTCTTAATCCCTATGAAGTATATGAATAATAGGAATTCATTTTTATTCTCATTAGTCACATTGCTCTTATTTCAAATTTTCAACAGCATAGTTAAGTGAATTTAATAGATCCTAACTGGTGTTTAAGTTGCAGTAAATTAATTCTGTCCATAAAGAAGCAACAGTCTCACCAAACTTCTGTCCTACCCATTGACATGCACATGATGTATGTCTTACGCATCATGTTCTTAACTAATGTGTGACTAGTCCCATTAATTAGAAGGAGGTGGGGCATTCGTTCTGCAGTCAGTCATGCCTTTCAAATGCTCTGCAATGAGAGGATTAACAATTTTTTTTTATTCCATTTCCTACTCTTTAGAAATGATTCCTAATATGTACATATCAAAATTTCCAACAAGAGGCTGTCTTCAAAAGATGTTTGCTCCTTTAAGACTCTTACATGTCTGAAAGGGTGACTTGCTCTTGTTGGTAGCTGTTTCATCTAAAGTGCAATTTTGTGCCTTATTTCATATGAATCTTCCAGCAATAAATAATAGGTTTTGCTCTCTTTTTTTTTTTTTTTTTTGCATGTGGAAAAGACTCTGATAGTGTAGAACAGGAAAAAAATAGACAGGGATAAATAATTATTCATAAAGGAAAAGTACAGAAAGAATAACAGAAATTATGCAAATTTAAAAAATCCAAGGAGGCAAAATTCTGGAAAGGATGAAAGAGAAGAACTGGAAAACAAGCTTAAAAAGAAGAAAAATAAGACATAGCAAAACAAAATACAGATTTTTTTTTTATTTATTTGTTTTGCTGGAAAGCATTGTCCAGGCATGTGTACTTTAACTGCACAGTAAAGCTAACACTAAAGGTTTGAGTAGATTGCTAGAATTTTGATTATTTACAACTGGTAGACAGAATAAAAGCTTTCTCACTGTTGTGAAGACATATTTTTAAAAAAATGTTGGATCACACTCTGTATCTCTGCTCACAAACTTTACCAAAATAGCAGCATTGCTAGAAGAAGTGTTAAAGGAGAAATGTAAAAGCCACTTCTTGTAGCAATGTGCAGTGTTCTGAAATGACTGTTCAATTTAATTTGCCAAATATTTATTTTTCATGTTCATTTTTAGCAGCTGTATTTTAGGGAAGGGGAGACTGGGCATCAAGAAGAGATGCTAGGTTAGTATTTCAGTGCTGCTGAGGTTAAGGTGGTGGAATCAACTCACACCAGCTAAGCATCTGGCCCCATATAGAGCTTGTAACATCATGGAAAGTTCCCACAAAAAATGTCTGCGTATAGAAATACCTATGCCGTTCCTGGTAGATGTTTGTGTAACTTATTCTTCTGAGCTTTCAGTGGTGTATATTCTGCAGAGCAATTTAGCCATCAAAACAGATTGCTTAAAGATTTTTATAGATATAAAACTTTAGTTATTCACTTAGCTGAATCTCCCTTACTGTTTGAGCATGCTTGCTCTGTCCTGAGTGGGCACAGAGAATGACATGTTGCCTTTAGGGGAATTCTCTACCTATGCTATTGTGTTCCCTCTCAGTCTTCTCTTCTTTACCTAAACAGTATTAATATTCAGACAGAGAAGGAAAAAACCACAATGTTCAAGCACATATCGACATAAAGAAAAACTGCTTGAAGCTGATTTCTGTTTACCACCAAAGAAAGGACTCTATATAGAGAGAGCTGGTATTGACAGGGTTGCCCCAAAAAAGGAATGAATATCTGTATAAAGTCTTCAATCAAATCAGATACTGTTAGTTCCTAGATACCATGTTTTCACAGAATGCTGTCTTAAGCTCTGATGGATGCATTTAGAGTAGATTTCTCCCCTCAGCAATACATATCAGATAACTAACTACTCTGAAGGTTACGCTGCTGGTAGATGCTACCCTGCCCCTAACCCTAGAAGAATCAACCCAATAAAATAAGCAGCTCTCAGGTAGCTGGAGTCGCCCATTTAATTTCATTTCATAATGCTGGGATTTTCTAGAGAAAGCAGGCAAAACCTGAACACCCAGGCGTTGCTTTGGTTGCAATTTCCTAGCAAAGGCTTTCAGAAAATCCTCAACACATTGCTAGCAGGATCAGGAAAGAGTAAACAAAGGTGCATTCTCTCACCAGAACAGCAGATTGTGTTGTTTACTCTCCTATGTGCATAGACAAAGCTTTCAGATAACAAAAGAATTTGTATTTTTTCCTGCATAAAAGAGTTTATAGACTCAGTGGAGCAAGGTGAGGAAGGGAGGAAGCACATGCCTGCTGCCCTCTGTGCTCAGAGGAGTTTGTCCTGTGGCTGTTATGGTGAGAATAGCAGTCAGTAATGTTCCCTCTGGAAGAACTAGTGTAGAAGAGGGATAAGGTGAGCAGGAATATCAAAAGATCTGCAGCTGTGCAGCCTCAGCACTCCCAGTCAACAAAACGTTGCGCTGTACCTGTGTATATTGCTCAGGTTTTGGGACTGAAGACCATTGCTGTCTGCCCTGCCTTCATTTGTTGGGGGAAATTTCACTGGTCTAGGATAAATCCATCTTGTAATACTGATGTGAAGAAGCACAGCGTGAATTTACTAGCAAAGTGGACTGTGTTCGGGTTTTCACTGGAGCTAAAAGAGAGGGAAAAGGAGGAGATGAAAGCTGATTCACCCTGTCCTTTACTGAAGGAGCCTGACACAATGCATCTTACATTCACGTGAAAGGGGAGTGGGAGGCTACTGCTGCTTGTATGGATTTCTGCCAGGGTTTCTGATTTCTGCCTTCTGACAAAAGCTACTGAAATACCAGAACTCCTTTTTCTACTTGACATGGGTGGGGGCTAAGGAAATGAATGCTATACCCATTCAATAGCACAAATAACTGTATTTGAATTCCCTTCAGACCCAGGACACAGCATACATCCCCCAGTGGTGGCAGACAGAGCTTTCTGTGGAGTGGAAAATGCCTCCCTGTACACTTAGGGCAAGGCAGATGTAAAAGGAACTATAGTTACCGTGGTTTTAATGTTTCTCCTAAAGCCACTCAAACAGGAATGCATCTCTGGTGTCTTCATGAAGACTGGAAAACTCACATCATGATAACCCCTGCAGTGCCCTTTCTACTGATATCGACTGATGTCTTAGTACCAAGAGGCTGTGGGCCATGTGAAGTTGCCATCAGAAGACATCCATCAGGAAACAAGGTTGCCACTATCTTTGAGCTAAGGCCATAGACATTTTAGCAGAAAAGGAGCTGTTGCTGATGACCGTGCAGTTGTTGTCTCTCATATGTGTTGAAATGTGTGCTGGGAAGCCCTACTGTATACCAGGAGAAAGATGTGGGTATCCTCCATGGCTGTGCAGCCAATACAGATGAGCAGGAGTGGCCTGTAGTCATCAGGAGCTCTGGTGTGGAGTATGCCCCA